TATGAATCAGTAATGTGATTTGACGCAAGTTAACCTCCTATATATTGGTATAATAGAAAAAGTTAATAGTTTTTTTTCCCTATAAGGCTATGTAAAACACTTATTGTATTTCCTAACACACGTGTCCCCTTTATGGATTACTGCCTTGTCGTGGCGAAGGGGCTTGTGTAACTCAATGAAGCTACAAGCTATGCCGTGCAGGGCCACCCAAGACGGACAGGTCATAGCAGAGAGTTCTGACAAAATGTGATCCACTGGAGAAGGAAATGGCAAACCATTCCAGTATCTTTGCCATGAAAACCCCATGGACAGTACTAAAAGGCAAAAAGATATGACGCTGGAAGATGAGCCCCTCAGGTCGGAAGGTGTCCAATATGCTACTGGGGAAGAGCAGAGGGCTAGTACTAGTAGTGCCAGAAAGAATGAAGCGACTGGGCCAAAGCCGAAAGGACGCTCAGCTGTGGATATATCTAGTGGTGAAAGGAAAGTCCGATGCTGTGAAGATTTTTTTCTCCATAGGAACCTGGAATGTAAGTTCCATGAATCAAGGCAAGCTAGACGTAGTCAAAAAAGAGATGACAAGACTGCACATTGACATCTTAGGAATCAGCGAACTAAAATGGACAGGAATGGGTGAATTTAACTTAGATGACCATCAGGTATACTACTGTGGGCAAGAATCCCTCAGAAGAAATGGAGTAGCCTTCATAGTCAATAAAAGAATAGGAAAAGCAATACTGGGATGCAATCCCCAAAATGACAGCATAATCTCAATTCGAATTCAAGGCAAACCATTCAATATCACAATAGTCCAAATCCATGCCCCAACAACTGGTGCTGAAGAGGATGAAATTGATCGGTTCTATGAAGCCCTACAGCACTTTATAGAATTAACACCAAAAAATGATGTCCTTATCATGGGGGATTGGAATGCTAAGGTAGGAAGCCAAAGGATAACCGGAATAACAGGCAAGTTTGGCCTTGGAGTACAAAATGAAGCAGGGTACAGGCTGATAGAATTTTGTCAAGAGACATACGATGGTCATAACAAACACTCTTTTCCAACAACCCAAGAGACGGCTCTACACATGGACATCACCAGACGGTCAACATAGAAATCAGATTAACTACGTGCTCTGCAGCCAAAGATGGAGAAGCTCTATACAGTCAGTAAAAACAAGACCAGGAGCTGACTGTGGCTCAGATCATGAGCTTCTCGTTGCAAAATTTAGGCTTAAATTGAAAAAAGTAGGGAAAAGCACTAGGCCACTCAGATATGAACTAAATCATATTCCTGATGAATATACAGTAGAGGTGACAAATAGATTTAAGGAATTAGATCTGATAGACAGAGTACCTGAAGAACTATGGGTGCAAGTTCGCAACATTGTACAAGACGTAGCAACTAAAACCATCCCAAAGAAAAAGAAATGCAAGAAAGCAAAATGGCTGTCTGAGGAAGCTTTGCAAATAGCTGAGGAAAGAAGGGAAGGGAAAGGCACAGGAGAAAGAGAAAGATACACCCAATTGAATACAGAATTCCAGAGAATAGATAGAAGAGATAAGAATACCTTCTTAAATGAACAGTGCAAAGAAATAGAAGAAAACAACAGAATAGGGAGGACCAGAGATCTCTTCAAGAAAATTGGAGATATGAAGGAAACGTTTCATGCAAAAATGGGCATGATAAAGGACCAAAATGGCAGGGACCTAACAGAGGCAGACGAGATTAAGAAGAGATAGCAAAACTACACAGAAGAACTATACAAGAATGAGCTTAACGTCCCAGATAACCACAATGAGATGGTCACTGACCTCGAACCAGACATCCTAGAATGTGAAGTGAAATGGGCCTTAGAAAATCTGAGCAACAACAAAGCTAGTGGAGGTGACAGTATTCCAGCTGAGCTATTCAAAATCTTAAAAGACGATGCAGTAAAAGTGCTGCACTCAATTTGCCAGCAAATTTGGAAAACTCAACAGTGGCCAGAGGATTGGAAAAGGTCAGTTTACATTCCAATTGCAAAGAAAGGCAATGCCAAAGAATGTTCAAACTATCGCACCATTGCACTCATTTCACATGCTAGTAAAATTATGCTTAAAATCCTACAAGCTAGACTCCAGCAGTATGTGGATCGAGAACTACCAGAAGTATAGGCAGGATTTCGAAGAGGCAGAGGAACTAGAGATCAAATTGCCAACATAGGCTGGATCACGGAGAAAGCTAGGTAGTTCCAGAAAAATATCTACTTCTGCTTCATTGACTATGCTAAAGCCTTTGATTGTGTGGATCACAACAAATTGTGGCAAGTTCTTAAAGAGATGGGAATACCAGACCATCTTATTTGTCTCTTGAGAAACATATATGCGGGTCAAGAAGCAACAGTGAGAACTGGACATGGAACCACTGATTGGTTCAAAATTGGAAAAGGAGTCCGGCAAGGCTGTATACTGTCGCCCTGCCTATTTAACTTATATGCAGAGCACATCATGAGAAAGGCAGGACTAGATGAAACAAAAGTTGGAATTAAGATTGCCGGGAGAAATATCAACAACCTAAGATATGCAGATGATACTACTCTAATGGCAGAAAATGAAGAGGAACTAAAGAGCTTCTTGATGCGGGTGAAGAAGGAGAGTGCAAAAGTTGGCTTGAAACTCAACATTAAGAAAACCAAAATCATGGCATCCGGCCCTCTCAATTCCTGCAAATAGATGGGGAAGAAATGGAGGTAGTGACAGATTTTATTTTTCTGGGCTCAAAGATCACCTCAGATGGGGACTGCAGCCAAGAAATTAAAAGACGCTTGCTCCTGGGGAGGAAAGCTATGGCAAATCTAAACAGCATTCTAAAAAGCAGAGACATCACCCTGCCAACAAAAGTGCGTATAGTCCAGGCCATGGTTTTCCCAGTTGCAATGTATGGCTGGGAAAGTTGGACCATAAGAAAGGCTGAGCGCAAAAGAATTGAGGCCTTTGAACTATGGTGCTGGAGAAGACTCCTGCGAGTCCATTGGACTGCAAGGCATTCAAACAGGTCAGTCCTAGAAGAGATCAATCCCGACTGCTCTTTAGAAGGCCAGATCCTGAAGTTGAAACTCAAATACTTTGGCCACCTAATGAGAAGGAAGGACTCACTGGAGAAGGGCCTAATGCTGGGAAAGATTGAGGGCAATAGAAGAACGGGACGACAGAGAATGAGATGGCTGGATGGAGTCACTGAAGCAGTAGGTGTGAACTTAAATGGACTTCAGAAGATGGTAGAAGACAGGAAGACCTGGAGGAACGTTGTCCATGGGGTCATGATGGGTCAGACACGACTTTGAATTAACAACAACAACACACGTGTGCACAAGCACATTTCCTGAAATACACATATTTGTAATAAATTGCATAAAAAAAGCCCTGGCTTATAGAATGTTTTGCTATTAGTTTTTTATTGTGCTCTCTAATGTCCACTATTTGGATTCACTTCACCATTATTTTATATACCTTCTGTAGCAAGCTACCACACTGAGAGAGACTAGTCTACTTAAAGTTGTTAAGGATGTTGTCTTATTTGTTTATTATTTAATTATATGGTACCCATTTCATAGCAACTCTGTGCGGCTCCCCCCAAAAAGGTAAACAAATTACAAACTGATTAAAATTAAAAGGACTGAATAAGAAGCTAAAAGCTAAGAAGATGGGTGACATGGGGGTGGATATTGTCTCTGTCAACCCCAACAGCCACCCCCAGTACAGCAAGCCCATATCGGGGTCCCAGGCTAGCTGGCAGAGCCAGGCTTTCAGATCTAATAAATTAATACCCATTTATTGAAAGTCAGTTATTGGCATATATTATATAAAAATAAAAGTTTTAAAATGAAACAATATATACTTTCAGGTAGTTTTATGGTGGGGTGAGTAAGAAAAAACTTTAAATGTGTATGTTCAATAGGTTCTTACTAGTTATCTTAACAATTTGTTTTGAAAAATCCCGAAATGCTTTATTTGTTGTTTGCCTTTGTACTTTTCAAAATCAATGATTGCTATGTACAAGATGCAGGTTATTAATGCATATATTTTCATTGTTGATAAAAGAGTGACATCAGGTGGATAGTTTGTGCATAAATAGTTAGGTTTTTTAAGTTTCACCATGGCCTTTCCCCTTTCATAATATACAAATGCATATTTTTATTAACTCAGTTGAGAAAGTTTTTCTTCTCCTATATTGTTATTTCAATTATGATAACACTGCATTTTCTTGAAACTAAGACTGTTATAATTTGGAAAATGTAATGGTTTCCTCAGTTTTGTTGCCCTTTAAAAATTGCTGTAAATATACAGGCAAGACCAGTATGCAATGATACAATGTCTATATCAAAATGTAATAGAATATATCTAAATAGGAGCATGGATTCTGTGATCCTTTAGACCAGAGACTAGTGAGGACTGATGGAATTTTTTGGTGAAAAATACCAGAGATTCTTAATCATTGATAAACCAAGAAAGGATAAAGTTTTTAAAGCTGGTCAATGCATTTTAACTTTTTGGGAAGGAATAGATCCACAATGGGTAGGCAGGTAGGTCAATTATATAAAGTGTACATGAGGGATGGATTTCTGTCTCTCCATATTATTACGGCTTGAACAGATTGTACCATAATGTTCAATATATAAATAGCAATAGCACTTAGACTTATATACCACTTCATAGTGCTTTACAGCCCTCTCTAAGCGGCTTACAGACTCAGCATATTGCCCCCCAACAGTCTGGGTCTTCATTTTACCAACCTCGGAAGGATGGAAGGCTGAGTCAACCTTGAGCCCAGTGAGACTCAAACTGCCAAACTGCTGTCAGCCAGCAGTCAGCAGAAGTAGCCTGAAGTACTGCATTCTAACCACTGCACCACCAGTGCAGTGGTGGTGTATCATTAGAGCTCCATATCAACATTTAAGATGCACCACCATAGACAATAATTTAATATCAAAAACAATATATTTATTACAGATACTTACGCTGTTCTTGATACTGGGAAACCAAATGAATAGCTTTCAATTCTCTTGTCTTGGTATTGTTTACACAAAGTATATGAGTGCCATTTTTCAACTGACATATTATCTAAAATGCATAACCAATTATTAATTTGCTATAATTTTCTATGTGTAGCAGAAATACTGTATTTATGTAAAAAGGTCTCATTAAGATCTTTACTTAAAACCAGCTTGTCAATTTCTGGTATTAACGCTGAATATTTGTGTAGTTTTGGAAGAATACACAAAGATGTCCATACTCACACTTAAACAATGCTCAATACTTTACATTTCTGTTTATTGCACACAACTGCAATCTTATGTACATTTATCAGGGAGAGGTCTTATTAAACTCAAAGGGTATTACTTCTGAATTATATATTTTAAGACTGGAGCTCTAATCTTTTTCATTAAATAATGAAAAAGAAGTCTGAGTGTCTGCATGCGCATGAGAAGGAAAACTACATCCTCTCCATACCTACTACTGGCTTGTACCTTCAATATACAGTACTTTATTCTACCACTTGCAACTTTCACTTGGATAAAGATTGCCTATTTATATTATAAAAACAATATCAAGCTTTTAAAAATATGTATTGTGCCACTTAGATAGCTATGTTAACCATAAAAAATTAAAGAAACTTTAATAAAAAACATGCAAAATTATCTAATACAGATATATATTGTTATTATATTTACCACTTGAGGAGTAGAGTAATTTCTCTGTGAATAAGTGGATTCCTCCACAGCATTTTGTTCTGCTGCCAGATTGTGGCCTGCCTCTGTACCATTTGAACTGTGAAAAACACCTTCTTCAGTATTATTTACTACAAGGCTTACAGCTGTCTCTTTGATCTCATTCTGCAATACAAGCAATTTCATATTTTAAGTAGGATACATTATATTAGAATATTAAGAATAAAATCTAATAATTAAAACAGAACATGCTGACATTGATATGTAAATAAGAATTTCAAATTGTCACTGTTTCTAATTGTCATTAAAATATTTTTAAAAGGAACATTTTCATTTTCTTTTAACAAGTGGCTAAAGAATATCAAAGAAAATATGGCAAAACAAATTTGCAACTTCTCTAGGGAAATGCCTGCTTTATGAGCTGTGGCCATTTGGTTTTTAAGAGTTTCATCAAAGACCCCTAACACAGTTAGCAGTTGTAAGACAGGGTGTTTTTATGTTATTTATTTTTTGTTTTATATTCTGAATGTTTGTTTTTAGCAATCCCAAAGCAGATTCTATTAAGATATTAGACTTTGTCTCTTTGTTTAAAATATTTTTATTCTTTTCCATTACCAATCCTCTCCCTTGTAATAAAAAGGATACAATAAAAAGGATGAGCAATACAGTAATCCATAAATGACTAATATGTATAATAAATACTCTGAAAACATAACTCAGGGCACATATAGTACGGTACATAGAAACAAAGTTCAGCTTCAAAAGGTCTTCAAATGGGTGATTCTGCTTGCATGATAATTCATAAACTCCTACTAGATGTTGAGCTAAATATAAAATTAATACTTACTGATCCTGTTTGTGATACATTTGTATCTTGAGATGAAGCATGTATACCATTGCAAAATTCTACTGTACAAAACAAATGTGAAAAATTATAAGGACAAATTATTATACAATGTATAAAGCATTGAAATCAAAAAGTGAAATAATTTTGGAAGTATGTCTGAGATTAATTCAATGAAATACCTCAAATGAGAAAGATGGCATAAGCCATAGGCAACTCTTATTAAAAATTTTCTTAACCTTTCTTCCTATGGGAGGTTCAACCGAACCTTAGTCCCATTTTAAATAGAAAGTTTTTTTTTTTCATTTGCAGCAGGAATATCCTGATTGCAATCTAATTTATTCATGTACAGAAGAACTGATATTTTAAAATCACTTACCATCAGAGCAGTCTGATAAGGTTTGTGACACTGTAGAATTATTAACAATCCCTTTGATTTGGTCACAAGAAATAGTGTTACTTGCATTTGAAGGAGTTAATAAAGGTCTCAGCACCTAGGAAACAAAGCAGGCATCCTACTGAAGCTTAAAACTATTATTTACATTGTAAAATTAAGCCTTTATGATTATGAGTTTTCTTTAGCAGAAAATATTTTCTCACCTAGAGATTGTCCAAGATTCTCCAGAATAGATTTCTGAAAGGAGTGAGTTTAAGATTGTTGGCTATATTAGCAGTAATCTGAGATCCTGATATAACTTTCATTAACCTATTCTCTTTTGAAACACGAAAACAGAAACGTGGTAGAGGGGTTCTACAGAGTACTTAAACTTTCATAAGGCTTTGCACAAATCTCAACACTTCCTGAACTGACTTTAGGATAAAAAAAGCTTCTTTTATGGATTAGCCCAAGAAATTACAGAACAAGAAGCAGTGGGAAAAATACTTTTTTCACAGAGAAACAAACTGGCTGTGTTTGCATACATGCAGCATACAGCAGAAAACAACTTCCAGATTAGTTTCAGAAGCTTGGAAAAAGATGCCCTTGCTCTAAAGAATTTTTAAAAAGTGGTTTGTTTCCATGTGTTCTGCCTGTTTCAATCAATTTGGACAGCCAATCCTATAAATTATCAGTTCTTGCAATGGAAATGTTGCACCACAGCAGAGACTAGAATGCTCTAAGTATGTATGGATGCACCAAAGCTTTAACTTTAGCTATTGTCTGGATTTGGAATTGAATAATCAAGATTCAAAAGTCATCAACACCATTCAATAGAGGGCAAAAATGTCATTTTGCTCTGTTATGATATTTAACATATATTTTGTTGATCACTATATAACAGGTCCCCATCCTTTGGGGCACCAGGGACTAGTTCTGTGGAGACAGGTTTTTCCGCTGACCAGAAGATGCGTGGTTTTGTGTGCTGCCTGCATCTTGCAGATGGGGCTTTGCTTGTTTGTGTGGACTGCTTGCTGGTATGCTGTGGCCCAGTACTGGTCCACGGACCAGGGGTTGGGGACCCCTGCTATATGATGCAGAATATATTTTTATAAAGTTAACATGTTTTCTCTCTTAAACTATCAGGATTTAAAAGATGAAATATTTTGGCGCTAAAATATATAATTCTACATCCCATATTAAAAAACAAGGAGTTGTTGTTCCATTTGGCAACCTAATAGTTTTTACTTATTATATAAAATATTTAAAATTTAAAACATGTTGAAGTACTTCAATTTGAATTCAAAGCAGATATTTTGCACTCAAAATGCTCCAAACAACTCATAAAAATTCAGAATAGTTCTGAATTTGAAACAGAACATTTTTGAGTCCAAACCATTTTGAATTTAAAATGTTTTGTATACCTCCAACAGATTCTTTCCCCAGTCCCAGCTCTTTTATCTCCAAATCTGTACTAATGAAACAGAGGCAAATGTGATGAATAAGGGAAACTTGTATTGTATATCTGCATGATGTGATAATGTAACTCGACAGTCTTAATAATGTAATTAGTTTATTAGTTTACAATTTAATATAATTAGAATATAATAAAACATAATAAACATTATAACTATGATATTTTCTAAATGGTAAATAGAAGCACAATCTTACTGGTGTAATTTCTGTATTTGTACTGATTGTTCCATCAGGAGCATTGGTGACAAGAGATAGTACAGTATTTCTATCTTGTGTCATTAACGAAGAAAATTGAACACTGTATGAATGTAGTTGCAGTTCTGGTAAATATGGACATCTTGCTGCTTCTGAAAGAGCCTCTTCAGATAATTTTTCATATTTTCCAAGGACTTCATCACAATAATCTTGTGTACATGGCTGCATTTTTACCTCTAGCACTGTGTTTTCATTTTCCCTATTAAGCGTATGTTTCAAATGATCAACTGCAGTTTCACCTGTGCAATTTAAACACGTATCTTGACTACAAAGGGATCCTTTATCAACTGGCTTATTTAGTAAATCAGTCTTAAGATTATGGTTTTCAGAACTAAATGCAAGTCCTTTATCTGTCCTGGAAATTCCAGCAAGAGTTAGATGATTTTCCGTAGGTATAGTTAAAATTTCAGGCTGGCTATGTTTCATCTCAATGGAAACACGTCCTAAAGTAGTTTTCATCTTGGTAAATGTATCAGCTTCAAAATAAGCAAAAATAAGCAAAAGTGACATAAAGCTGTCATCATAAACTTACATACACTCTTCTCCATATATATTTGGATAGTATATTAAATATTAAGTTATATTCTATACAGTAAATATATTCATTATACTATACAGGGCTTTTTTCCTCATAGAACGCCCAGAACGGAGTTCCGGCACCTTTTTTGGATGGAACCCTGTAGGGTAGGCAAGGCGGGTTGTATGACATGTGTGAGTTCCGGCACCTTTTTTTTTTTTTTTTTTAAGAAAAAAAGCACTGATACTATATATTAAGGCACAGGACTAGAAAGCCTAAAATAAAATAAAATAATTGTAAAATACAGTAATATAAACTGTTTTTTAAAATAATAATTTAACACTTATAAGAGATGCACCAATGAAGATATTAAATACCCTTTGAATAGCTCAGATTTTAATTTTTTCTATGGTATGGAGTGATGGATCTGAATTTCTGGTGGAAGATTCTTCTTTAGGATGGGTTCCAATGCTGATAAACCAAGGACATTAGGGTTAGAGATACATGAATAAAGGCAAATAGAGATACTACATATTGATGGTGTGAAATGGTTCTACACACCTACAGAATTTCATCACATGTACCAAGTAAATCAAATGGGAATGTAGGTCTCTATATACAGCTCTTCAGGAATGCTTTTTCTGCATTGTGCGTGATGGGAATTATTGTTACACATGCAGTTCTTGGCTCTTTTGTTTCCTTTTCACACATGTGAAAATAATGAATAATTGTGACTTTCTCGAGTGCGATCGAGGATGGGCTGCCTCACGGCTGTATTGAAAAGACTTGTGCTTATGTCAGGGTTTAATAAATGTGCATTATCTTTACCTAGACTCGTAAGTTCCAGCTGCTGGGTAAACTAGTATACGCGTTAGCTCAAGAAATCTGATCTGATCTTACCCTCCTTCCCCCCCCCCCCAAATATTTCTCCAACCTGTCGGGATGGGTGAGGATGTGCGTGCGCATGCCACATGAGGCGAATAAGACCTGACGGGCTATTCGTACATACAGTACTTCTCCTTTTCTCCCGCTCACCTTCCCCCTCTGCAGATTCCCGCCTTTTCCCTTCCATCATGCTTACTAGCGCCTGCTCCAATTTGACGAGGAAGAGCCGTTGGGCGGGGATCGGGAGCGCAGCGGTGTCTCGAGCTGAGGCGGAGCCTGGAGGGCACGCGCTGGTTCCGGGTCAGATGACCTCGCCTCTGAGAATACAATCCTCCCCCCTAACGCTTCGCCGGTGGCTGGGCGCGCGCGCTTGCAGGGCAGTGACGAGTCCTAGCGATTTTTTTTTTTAAAGTTGCTTTTGAAAATGCATGATCTTGTTCTGCTCATTCTCTCGCTTGACAGTATTTGAATAAAGGGCGACGCCGTTTCGACCTTTTCACTTTGTGAAGACAAAACGGGGAGAAGACGAAGTTCTGCTTTTTTTTTTTTGAACAAAAGACAAAACATTCTCTCCGACAGGGATAGGTAAAAAGGCTGTGCACATGAGCCCGCACACCCAAATTCATACCGTCCATAAATCAGACTAGGAGATCCAGTTAATACCCGGAGATTGACGGGCATTAATCGCCGGCACTACGCGCACATTGTCCTGAAAGCATATTGGCCTTTCAGTACTTAAAAAGCCTATAAGTTGGTCGATTTCATGTTCTTCAGCAGACCAAACAGATTAAAATATATCTTGATCATTTTCATTTGATCTTTTTAATTAACATTATGCACAGTAATAAATACAGCCTTCTATACTTTTAAAGTTAAATCCTCATTAAAGAAAATTATGCAACTTACACTTAACATCGCACAAAAGGAAAATATAAAGACAATGTACTATTGTGGCATTTGTCTTTTCCCTTTTTAAGGGAATGAATAGGGTCTGGTGCCTTTTGTTATACATACTAACATTGCAGATATAGTGGCATCTCTTTTCCCCCAGCGAAATGCCTACCATAAGATAGGTAAGAATCGGAGGTTCTGGAACACTTTTCTATTGCATGTGATGTTTTTTGGGGGGGTGGGCTTGTGCTTATATGCATTTATGTTTCTTATTGGATAAGATAATGAACCACATGTTCATTATATATACCTGTTGGCAACCCCCCAACTTCTTAAGTTCTACCAATTATATTCAATAACAACTCGTTATAGAGACAAAAGCCCATTCCTTCACTTGCCTTTTACACTAACATTTGTGGTGCTAATGTTGTCTTTAAAAAAACACAGTGATTATCTTACCACCCCACTCCCACCCTCAAGTCCCAGATTTAAGGTGATCTAGAAATTAACCAACTTTTTCTGCTTAAGATTCCAAGGGAACTGTTGTGTCTACATTGACCTGGTTAGTCTCCCTCATTGATAGGTATGCAGAGACAAGTGAGAAAAGGCAACACATACCACTGGCTATTCATTACCCTATCATGAAGTATTTTTCCCTTCTACCAAGGAACATGCTTTACTAACCAATAGCTGAATGAGCATAGATTACATCACAGCAAGTTATTACATTGTTGCAGCCTGAATAAATAAGCGTACCTAATGGAGTAAGGGTTTCAATCTGCCTTCAGCATTGGGAAATGAAGTCTTAAGCTCACCTTTTGTGCTATAGAACTTCATGAACTGGCAAGGGAGATGAATCTTGATCTTCATAAGAAAACCAGTTAAGTGTAATGAAGGTAGAATACTGGTGTTTTTTCCTACTCTATTGGAAAATCCAAGTTGTCCAGGAGTTGCTTCTATAGTGAGATGGGCAGCATATAAACTTATAAATAAATGAAAGCTCTTTGACTGATTTGGGACAACTAGCTCTTAAAACTAATAATTCTTGAATGGCTGATACAACAGCAAAATCTCCTGCTTCTCTGTGAATATACCATTTGGGTTCATTCCTCCCAAATAAGTTTTAAAAAGTCTTCTATCCTTTGAGAGAAAATGGGAATTCACTTAGCAGCAGATGCTGTTTCATCAATGGCCAAACATTATTAGACTCTGCTCAGAAAAAAAGTTAAGATTCCAGGAATCTCAGTTTTTATGATTAAGTGATGCACCCCAAAATACAGAGAGTTACAAAATAAATTGGACTTAAAAGGAATATTATATTAAGAACTTAAGCAAAATATGTAAACTTTAGGATAATTGTTTTATTCTAAGAATATACTACTTCCAAATGCAGCTGACACAGAAAATGTAATGGAGTCAATTTTAATTACTGGACAATATCAGTTTTACTCTAAGTGATAATATGGGAAAACATAGTTTAAACATTTCTTAGATAACTGTTAGCCTCTTATAATGTCTGTTTTGTATTTGTACATATGTGGACAAGCAAATACTCATTTACAGGTAGTCCTCAACTTACGACCACAATTGAGCCCAAAAATTATGTTTCTAAGTGAGACAGTTAAGTGAGTTTTGCCCCATTTTACAACTTTTTCTTGCCACAGTTGTTAAGTGAATCACTGCAATTGTGAAGTTAGTAATACATTATTAAGTGAATCTGGCTTCCCCATTGATTTTGCTTGTCAGAAGGTCACTAAGCTGATCACATGACCCCAGGAAATTGCAATTAAAATAAATGAGTCAGTTGCCAAATATCTAAATTTTGATCACACTACCATGGGGATGGTAGTGTGATCAATGAGGTTTTAAGTATGAAAAATTGTCATGTCACTTTTTTTAGTGCCACTTTAACTTTGAACAGTCACTAAACAAATGGCTTAAAATACACACGCACACACACACACAAACATATATAAAGTCTAAATATTGTCAAACCAATTCCTTCAAAATGAATTTCAATGTAAATTTCTATGAAAGTTATAAATAATGAGAACAGTCCGTATATCTAATATAAAATGCACACTTTTAAATAATATTTTTATTAAGAATAAGCTGTTTACTATGTGTTTAAAGATTTACAACCAAAAGCAGTGTTATATACAGGCAGTTGACATTCTAAGAGGATATAAACCAAGGTCAGAAATAGTTTTTGTGTCTATTTCTTTTTTTAAAAAAAAGACATTTAACCTTTCAGTCACTTATAGTAAAATTCATATTAACTTCAGCCAATTACACATTTATATTTCCTTAAAATATGAAACATTGCATTGATAATGCACTAATTAAGCATGTTTACAATTCAAATATCTAAAACCTGAGTCAAACCTAATAATGCTCTTGATAAAAAAGATTCTTAGAATATAGAGACTGGTCAGTTGGTAAAATAAAAGCATATACTTAACAGAACACTGACTTAAGAATGCAGCATGACATCCATGGCTTCCCCCCCCCCCTTAATTTTGTGATGTTTACCATTCTTGATCATATGAAACATGCCCCATCTATTCTTGTGCGGATTTATACTTCAATATTTATTTATGAAATAATATAACTGATTTGCATTAATCGAAGTCAAAGAATTTAATAGCAAATTCTCTGGACAACAACTTGAGTTCTGTATCTTCTATTGGTATTAAAGCTCTTGAACATCAGGGTTTTATTAGATTAACCCCATATTTGTTGCTTCATCTTTCTTAAAGCCATTAAATTTGGAGAAACAGATAATTGATGGATAAGGCCTTTTAGCTCTTATGTAAAGACTTATGAGAGACTGATAAGAATTATGTCTTATATAATGACTGTCGAGAACATTTCACTGTCTGATTTTTGTAATGTTTGCATGTCTGATTTCTGAATAGAATTCTTGCCAGCCATAAGACCAACTATTTTTTTTCTTTGTAATGTTTAATACAGATTGTTTTTAATAATGCCATTCATGATTTGTCACATTCTCTACATTTAAAAAAAATCTGAGATAACTCCAACTTTATGACATTTAAATGTTAGGTATGTATATTAATGACTGTTTATGACTCATACTATAATAATTACTTAAGGCAGAAGGTGGTCAAGCTACTTTGACTGGTCTTTACACTGAAGATTGTCCCAACAGATTTTAAACCAGCAGATTAATTGTAATGCAGAGTGATGGGATGAAACAAACTGAATACAACTCTTGAAGCAAGATAGTAACTTCCTTTTTTTGTAAGAGTGTAAAAATTATTCTCATAAGAAATAGCTTTGATCATAATACAAAGGAAAATTGTTTGCGAGATTTTTTGTGGAAACATACCCATTTTTATTTGCTGATATTATATCCCGTGTTACTGCAAATTCAGTAATTCTTATTTTTCAAATTCAGCCATTCAACTTTTGAAATTCAGCAAATACAGGTTTTAAAATTATATACAGAAAAAGCCTCCTCTGACATTTCAAGTAACAAGACAGGCTTAATTCCAAATAGCAAAATGTTTCCCCCCCCCCCACTAAGCACAATTCACTACATTTGCCTGATGTTTCTAAATGTTCAACTTAACAAAATGCCTTTACTTATGGTGTATGTCCTAAATTGTAACTTTCTGAAAAAACAACAACCCAACAATTAAATGAATTATGTCTTCTGCCATTATATTTCAAGTCATATTTTTTTCTGTTAGCATGAGATTGTAATAACATACATATTCTCTTAATTTATAGAACACAAATAAGAAATTGTTAAATTAAGACAAATGAGGAATAAATTTCATGTTGCAATTCCTCACCAAATATAAAAATCTCAACAGTCATTCCTCATGAAAAAGAAAATTCTTCTGAAAAGTCAAAGGGATGGACCTTTGAAGCCAATCAAAAATGCTTGTTTATATATCTGGGAACGGATTGCTGCTTAGCATAGCTTATTTTCAGTCACTGTACAGAAGAGTTCTCATCTCCAACATTGGCCAACGAGTTGTTCTACTGTTACAAAGATCATTTAGTAGAGTTTTTGCCAAGGTGAAACAAGTCACGGATATCACACAATGCTTGTTGGATGTTTTTCCCAAAGCGATGAGAATCCTAAAAAATAATTAAAAATCCAAATTCACAATCACATAGCAATCTTATAGTGAACATCAAGAGTGCATGCATACACACAACTATTTTTTAATGTATGAAACTGATTGCCATTTACTACTTTTGTTTATTCAGTGATGTGATTTTTATAGGTTCTTTTTATAAATCCTTTAATAGTATTAATGCGTTTGGAAAATAATTCAGACTTGATTTTATTTACTGTAAACATTTATGATAGCCAAATCTAATAAATC